GTTGTTGCTGTTAATTGGTGTCGTTGTTGTTGTTGTTGCTGCTGCTGTTGTTGCTTTTGGTGGTGGTGGTGGTGGTGCTGCTGCTGTTTTGTTGTTGTCGTTGTCATCGTTGGCGGTGGTCGAAGTTTTTGTTGGACGTTGTGCCATTGGCGATGTTCTAGTGTCGCCTACTCTGCTGATAAGAAAAATGGCAAGCCGCCCACACCACGGTCGCCGACGGCAACAACAAACTGATTAGACCGTACACGTCGACCGCCATTTCTCCGACGTCCAATGACTTGTTGCACGGAAGGTGTGTAAGCGGGAACCCGTAGAACAGTCCGACCGTGTCGTTGCCAGTTTACCTCTCATCACACCTACCGATTTACCTATGCACGATTTCTGGATTCCAGAGACTACTTTTTCACGACCGCCATGTTGAACCGCCTCCCCCCCCCGACCATAAATGATACACCAAACCCCCCCTGTGTCGATATCCATATTCCTATCTGTGTAACCCCTGGGCGTACCGACTTACCAAACACACGATTTTTTCACCACCGTTCCGTTGAACCCCCCCCCATCCTCTTCTGATACCCATTCCTCTCTGTATAGTCCCTCGGCGAATTGTACACGGAGGTGGGGAACGCCGTCCTGGACAGTACAGACGAAGTGCCGTCCATGTTCCACGACCGACCTCCTCGGCATCGAAGGACTTCTCGGTCCAAGAGCGGCGCCGGGGCAGGGACGACCGCGGCGGCGGCGGCGGGAGGAGGGGGGGCGAGGAAATGGGGCGGCGGCCTCGGCGGCGGTCGCGCTGTGCTCGACGTGGCCCTGCCAGGTGCAGCAGGTGCACTCGACGAATGGATGGGAATAGCGAGGCTCTCCTTCCCTCCCTTGCTGCCTCCGACTGCTAGACGTAGAGCAGAAATACTGGAGTTGTTGTAGATCCGTCGCTCGTTCTCGGTACGGTATAGTTGTTATTGTTAACCTCACCGTTTTCTCGGTCTCGGTACCCTCCCCCCCCCCCCCCCCCTAAACACATGTGTGACGGAGCCAAAAATGAACGGAATCTACGCTTCTTTGCTGACAAGAATTGATTGATTGCAAGCCGTAGCTTTGGGCGGATTGGTGGATGCGATGTGCGTTTGTGTGTCTATCGCGGTGCTGGCATGCACGGCGTGCCAGTAATGACGTCCGACTTGTAGTTTCTGCAGGTGGTCGGTGCAGCGGCTGTATATCTCGGTCTACCGAAACGTGCATGCTCTGCTCGCCTTAACCTGCCTTCCCATCGCCTGTACAACTGCTGTACGCACGCGACAGATGTGCAGGGCCTGAGTCTAGCGGCATCGACCAGCGGCTCATCATCTCGCCAAGATTTCGGCAAGCGCAACGACAGCAGCAGTGACGATGACAGCGGGTACGATGACCGAGATCGAGATGTCTCGGCCAGCCGAGAGCGGTGGACGAGGGAGTGGAACCGAGCCATCGGCGCCGGCGACGACGATGACGGTCCCGGGCCGGCGAGAGCAGGAGGTGATCGGCGGCACGGACACCACCAGGACGCCGCCGCTGCTTCAGTAGCGGTGGGGGTGGAGAACCCCTCCACGTCGTTGCCGAGAAGGAAGAGAAGGAGTAGGAGGAGGGCGGCACCATCACGAGTGACCGTTCTCGAAAACGAAGACGGCGGCAGACTTCTTGCAGCCGCAGCAGCAGCAGCAGCAGGAGCAGGAGAAGGACGCGGTGGGGAGTTGGGTAGCACGCAGCAAATGCAGTATGGGTTTGAGACGATCGGGCGCGGGCGGGGCCCAGTGGACGAGGAGGAGGAGGAGGAGGAGGAGGAGGAGGAGGAGGAAGAGAGCGGGTACGGGGGGTCCTCCGAAGGAATATTTGAACCTGGGGGGGGCAGGTGGGGTGGGGTGGGTGGAAGCCAAGGCCGTCATGGTGACGAAGAAGAGAAGGGGGAAGAGGAGGATGAGGAGGAAGAGGACGACAGCTCGGAAACAGGAAGCGAGGTTCGTTATATATATATATATATAAATATGGATTGGCCCACTGGTTGGTTGCTACCTTTCGTGTCGAGTGCTCCGTTGTTTTGCAAGGTGGCCTTCTTTTATTTTAGAGGGGGAGGGCGGGGACGGAGAGCCAGTGTGCCCGGCGAGCTAGATTTCTACGGTGTGCTGCGGTGCCATCTCTTGTGTGTCTTTGTTCGCTTGTCGAAACTGCTGCTGTGGCCCTCAACGATCGGTGCAAGTCGCGCCAAATCATGTGCTCCGTTGCCGTTCCCAGTACCTCTCACAACGCGTTTTTGTATACCTGACCCGGGCGCTCTTTCTGGAATCAGGGCGTGGGCGTGAGCGGGCTGCCGATCGGCGAGGCTAGCCTGTCCTCTGGAGACGAGAGGATCTGGAGAGCCGCTGGTAGCAGAGCTTGAAGGAAGCCGCGGCGGGTTTATAAGTCGGGACCTTTGTCGTGTATCTGAATACAGCAGTGAGTGAGGTTGGTGGAAAAAGGGACCCAATCCTTGCGGAACAGCCATAAAGCAACAACACCACACCGGATCACACACTTTGATGTGTGCCACACAAACCACGCAACCGTTTGGATGGTATGTGCTGACCCGTGCATACGAGGGGGAATTGCGGGGGTGCATTCTTACTGTGTCGGCAAGGAAGGATAGTCAGCATTTGTTGTTTCTTTGCGCTCCGTTCGTGTGTATTTATTTAGTGTACGAGTGTCTGGGGTTGGTTTTAAGCCAAAGTATTCTGTGGGTCGGGGGGTAAGGGAAGATCTATAAGAGCACAAATAAAATCTCAAGTGTTTTTTGTTATTTCGGTAGCGTTTGGATTTTCGGTGTAATCTTGTTGCAGCTTAGGTTTTGTGCCCCCAGGCGCAGAGAAGCAACCAAATCGAGGTGATGTAAAAGTGATATTTACAACGTGGTCAGCTCTCATGCCGTTAGCGCCAAGCAGGCTTGTTGCTGCCTGCAGCAGTCTCCCGTCCATGGTGTTGTTCTCCTTTGCTATTTCTTCTCATTTCGCGAGGACATGACGCGTGCGTGTGAGGTGGGGAGGAGGCGATAGAGGCGTCCATCCCCACACCTACTGTGCAGTGAGCAGTGAGTGGGCTTCTTCGACTGTTGGTTGGCCATCGGCTGGCCATCGGACCTGATCTTTGTTTTGAACAGGCAATTACAGTGGCGGCTACGGTTTACGAGAAACTATTTAAGAGAACGTACCGATTTAAGAGAGTCAGACTGGCTTGTCACGACCATGAGAAATACATACATTTCACAGTACGGTTTTTAAGAGAAAACCGGATTTAAGAGAGAAACGCTGACTTGTCACGACCCTCTCTTAAAACCGTAGCCGCCACTGTAAGCATAAACCTTGGGTCGTGTTGTAAACATCATCATCTGGCGCATGATGCTCGCGAATACTTTTGCGACCGGTAGACCCTCCTGCGTGCGCTATCGCGCGATTTACTATTACAATCGCAGCAGGAGTTCAGAATGCTCCAATCGCAGAAGGCATCGCAATGCCAGAGGGAGAAGACCGGCGACCCCGGCTCAATCAACACAGCTCTTGTCGGCCTTCGCTGAAAAGCACCACAATTCCGTCCCCAGTATTTAGTACAAAATTGAGACTAGTAGTAGTAGTGGTATTGCCACTCCCTTGACAGTGTACAGGGTATTGGGACGTGGCCTTCCGGAGAACGGAAGAAATACCAGTAGGTCATGCCAGCCTTAGAAGATGGACCAATCACCTCTCTCGGAATACCTGCCACGTGTGTGTGCATAAATAAACACTGCTCTCTCTTCCAATTGTAGTTCAAGATGCTTGTGAGTCAAAATGACATATAGTACCATTAGACTTATATTTGCTCGTAAAAACGAAGCAACCCAACCCACACACTACGGCGGTGTGTTCTAACTTACACGCCTTCTCCAACAAAACCCTTCAGAAGCAGGGGCCACACGACGAGAAAGCGCAAGGGAGCAAAAGAGACGCCTCCATGCGCACATCAACACGCTGCCGAAACCAGAGAGAAGACAAGAAGACAAAGACGAAACAATTCAAAGAACAAGAAACACACACAAACGAAAAAAACATGTGACGCAAAAAAAGGACCTTCACCAAAAACAACGGAAACAGGGTAAAGGCAACCCCTCTTGCTTCTATCATGCTTCCCATACCGTATACCACACCAATCTCGCCCCACCTTCGTACGGAAGCAAGGCAACGAGGCGCCGAATATATGTATACCAGTATCACTGCTGTGGATGTATTAGACTACAGATAAAAAAATAATACTAGACTAGTAGTTTACACAAATAAAATATAGTTGAACCATGCATCGGGTAATGCATAGGAACAAAGCTAGAAAAGGGAGTACACAGTTGTTTCCGCATAAGCGGTCCACGCCTAACGCTTGTAACTGCGTTCAAAATGGTAAGGTAGGCATTTTATCGTGTATTCGAGCACGGTTATTGTAGCTGCTAAACATCTCTTGCTTTGATTGTCCGTCCGTTCATCCCAGTCGACAGAACCCCTAAAAACCAAAAATTGCAAACGAATTGAGAGTCTTGGGGGGGCAGACCTCGAACTACAGCCGCAGCACCAAAAACACCTGCAACATTTTAGGAACTCGAATCAGAACCTTTCACTATGATGAAAACGAAAAAAAAAAAAAAGAACGAGAACCCACACACACGCGCACGACGTGATTTATAGTATCTGTCACCCTTTGAGAAAACACACAAACTCCGACATAACCACCAACGCCACGACATCAGCTGGATATGGACAAGTTTATTCCTGCTGTGTTGGCGGCCTCAATCGATCCATCAAGTCGAGATAGAGTCGAGTCGTTTGCTACGCCATGCCTCTCTGCCCCCCTTTTTACCCCCATCCCGGCGCGTGTCCCCGGAGAGCACCATCATTGGTTGCAAACATGGACAACACGGAAAACAATGATGTAAAACACAACACCAGCAAATCACACCCATTCATTCCCCCCGGCGGGTCAGGTGTGCTCCGCGTGGGGACAAGGGAAAGGTCTAGCAAGCAGAGGTCAGGCTTGGTGACTCGAATCGGAATGGGCCCCCCTCTGGCGCGATGCGAGTGCCCCCTGTCACGTCCTTCACAGAACAAACACACCCGTACCGTAACAACAGGAAAATGATCGAACACAGGTTGAAATCATACACGACGACAACAACCAACGGCGCCCGGTGTGGGGGAAACGCTACCCCCCACCACCATGAAACACGCACACGCACACAACCCATCCACCGCAGCAACCGCGATACGCCTACACGGGGCTCTCGCATTCCAGCCGCGTGCAAAAGATGCCAGCCGCAGCGGCAGTCCAAAATCACACGTGTCTGCGCTATCTACCTACCCCGTCCTGTAGACCATCTCTCGCTCCGTGCGCACGTTGGCACTTGGCAGGTGCATAGTGATGGTGATGCGGGTCCCGGCGCGATTGGCCGTGCAGACAGTAAACGTGCTCAAAATTTACATCGTTCTTTACAAGCAATACGCACGCATAAAACGCGTTACGCATGCGTAACCTTTTCCGTTCTTCGAACGTAAAGCAAAGCAGGCAACAAACAAAACAGTACAGGTAACCGAAACTCATCAAGTAACAGGAGCGGGGTGGGTGGTGACTGGGCGGGTTGGGCCACCACGCCACAGAATAAGGCAAAATTTCCCCCCACCCCCCGCGCCATACAGCAGCAATGTATTATACTTTTAAATCAATCCGACCGACATAATACAAGACTAAAAGCAGTGCACCATGCATACAGCTGCTATTCGTCCGGAAACCCAGCCGCTGAGGGACGAGGGGGAATTCCGGGGGTTCAGGGGGGTCAAGGCTCGACGTGGAAGTGGAACTTACAACAAGGAGGGGAGGAGCAGGAGGAGGGAAGGTCCGCTGCCGCTCCTCGTTGCTCCTACTACTTCGGCCATCGTTTACACGCCGCCCGATGGCGCACTAGTGCTGCCGCCGCCGCCGCCGCTGCCACCGCCGCACGTGCTTGTCTCCTCCACCGCCCGCCGCCGCTGCTTCGCCACAACACCGCCCCACCACTTCCCCTGTATTCTATTGGGAATTGGGGGGCTTGACTTACAGCCTACCGGTCCCGCAGCCTTACCCCCCCCCCCCCCCCCCCCGCCCCCCCGGGCAAAGGAAAAACCAAACAAGGATCCCACCGCCCCCTCCAAACAACA